CAAGGCAAAATGGCGCGAAATTCAAGGCCTTCACTTACTCGATTTTGTTGTCGCCTTTCTGAGTAGATTCTGCCGGGTTTTTGGCTATTTAAACTGCACGTAGTCGGAGGCTTGTTAAGCGTAGGCAAGGAGTCATCTTTAAGATAGACCTTAAACTTTTCAGTGTAACCAATTTGTTTTAAAAAAACTGGTGAATGGGCCGGGTCATAGGCGTCTTCGTCAAAATGGCGCGAACATATTCTAGTGGACACTGATGGTTTGAAACGCTTTTCCCTTTTACAAAATTCAATCCAGGCGGCTCTCCTTTTCTGCTGTTCACGACTTTTTCTTCCGGGAAACGAAAAAAAGGCGATATCTCGGTCGCTTTTTTGGCTATCGCTGTTACAACCAACCACCGGACAATACATTTTACTGTAACACTGTTCCATTCAAAGTTCCCCCTCAAGTGACGTCACTGAATAAATTTGCATATCGAGATATTCTCAAAATGGCCGCCGTAATGGCGGTGAAAGGATAAACTATCAACTATTTCTCGTAGTGATTTGAGCCGAGAGCAAAAAATAATACCACCAATGAGACTCTGAATGTAAGTACTTTTATTAAAGACGTTATTGATTTTCATTGCTAATGTCCTTTAATATACATTTTCATTAACTATCCAACAGAATGGTTCTTTTTGTTCTTTTTAAAATGTATTGGTTAATTCTTAGTCCCCACCAATGTGTTTGCATAAAATCTAAAATACTTATAAGTACATTAAATAATTTAAAAAAATAGCTCATATAAAGAGAAATCTAACAATTTTTTGCTGAAAAAAACACACTGCCTTGTAATGACTGATTGATCAAACTGATTGACAACAGAATTGGGCTGTGTCACAAATGACTATATGTCTAGACCTGTGTAGCCTCAACCTTGTGAACCTTTTCTTTAAAATTTCAAGTCATAAATTTGCACACTGCAATTCACATAGCCAGTTGATTTCTGTTAAGAATTATTGTTAGCATCATGCCAAAATGATCCTGTAATGCTCCATTTTCAAAGGTTACAAAGCTCATAAAAATATTACTTAAATATATGATTAGTAAATAAAATAATCATTAGATATAGTGCATGTATAACAGCCACATAGTATAATAAATTGCAAATTAGTGTATTTCTCATATTTATGTTGAGGAAGTTGATCTCTGGCTGGGAAATCAAGTATGGATATTCTATTAACTAAAATGAATACAATCAGAGATGCAGTTTTAAAATGATTGAAAAAGCAGGACCTCTAGATAAAAGTTCTTGATAAATCACACTGCTTTAACATAAATATTATATCATAAGCCAAAGATAGGCTGTGCTTAGCCAAAGTCAACAGATTCCTAAGGATAAATATGAGAACAACAGTTTACAAGCTTACTTTATAACCATAGTTTAGCTGATTAATTCAGCGACTGGATTGAGCTTCTTGTACACTACATGTATCCATATTTATTCGTTTCAAGACTTTGATTTGGTGCCTATGAGCAAGAAAGACCTTGTTACACAGTCTTATTATGTTTAATATCACGATGCCTAATGATATAACTCAACAACAATATATATAATACTGTTCACGGTATTGAACTGAGCGACAAAACAGACTAACGTATCTTACATGTAAATTGCCATCGAATCTCACAAGTTGACTGTCATCCACGGTAAAATATAATGCCTAAAGACACTACAGCCATTCGAATAGCTTACTAGTTGAAAGATGTTATTTGTAAACGAATAAAATCCACGAAAACTGCCATGAGAGACTCACCTCAAATAATCTCAAATGACCGTTGAAAATGGCGGGCGAACGAGACAATTAGAACATCGCAAAGGATCATGGTTATCCTCGCCCCAGTCTCCAGGAGGAAATGTGTGGGTTTTTTTAATATTGAATGGAAAAGTAAGCTAAATAAAAGTAAATTCGAAATAGATAAATAAAATAAGCGAACTTCATGTGAGATTATGCATATTGTTTTAATATTGCATATTGTACGGATGTGAGAAACAGTAGTCTCCACGTAGCCGTTCTTAGTGTCGGGCTCCCTGTCCCCCGCCCCACACAGTGCAGTACAGTAGTAGAGAAACAGAGACTCTGAATTTAGATTTATTGATCATATCATTAATCATAACCAGCATTGTTCATAATGGGTACTCCACAATCGGGACAATATAATACTATGTAATATATTTTGGCTTATTATTCTCTATAGTTATTTCACACACAGTATTTTTAAAAGCTAGTTATTGCGATTTATTGAAAATTCTAGGGTAATTGAGTCAGAAGTATTATGGTACGTATACCTCAGTGATTACCATTTGTTACGTTTTTCAAGAGTATTCGGTCAGGAAAACTATTGATATACGTGTAGTATGCAGGATTTGAATACTCTTGACAAACCATACCTGACGTACTCTGGTAAGAATACGCCAGCAATACTCGAGAAGTGACGTATGCAGTAGTATTCAATATGAATACCCTAGGGATACGTCAAGTATCATCCTGCGACTTGAATACCTCCGAATACGCGTTATACCACGGGAATATTCTGGTCCTGAAAACTCTTGAATACTGGCCTTTTTGTACAGTGATGTTGGTGATTCGAATCCAGTTAAGCTACCTCCTCGCCGAATTCTCCCGCACAAACGTGACATAATTGATCAACAGATTGATGATCTCCTGTCACAAGATAGGATTGAACCTTCACAGAGCCCTTGGAGTAGTCCTKTAGTTCTGGTGAAGAAAAGTGACGGAACCTATCGAATGTGCATTGACTACCGAGCTCTGAATCAATGTACAATAAAGGACGCACACCCCCTTCCTCGGACAGATGATGTACTGGAGGTGATGGTCGGTTCTCATTAGTTTTCTTGTCTAGATCTTGCTTCGGTCTACTGGCAAATGAAAGTATCCGAACAGGACAAACCCAAAACGGCATTTGGTCTCACAAATGGCCCAGCCAGCTTCCAAAGACTTATGAACCTGCTTTTGAATGGCTTGACGTGGTCTAGTATACATAGACGATATCATCATTTGGTCTACGTCGTTTTAGGAACATTTATGCCGTCTACGTCTTGTGTTTGACCGGATTCGGCAGGCCGGACTTAAGCTTAAACCTGCCAAATGCCAATTTCTAAAACACAAAGTTACATTTCTGGGACACGTTGTGTCATCTGAGGGTATAGGGACAGACCCCCGAAAGACTGAAGCTGTGGTTGATTGGCCAATACCGACTAACRTTAAAGAGGTGCWACGTTTCYTTGGACTKSTGGGGTACTATAGACGTTTTATTAACGAATTTTCAACAATAGCCTGTGCCATATTATTTAGCACAGTAGAGTGGTATGTGGCCTTTGTAAGAAGACAACCCCCTTCAGCTGGGGAGTGAAAGAAAATGCAGCCTTCGAGACGCTCAAGAACGCACTCGTTGAAGCACCTGTTCTTGCATACCCAGACTTTTCAGCTGATGCCGGAATGTTTATCCTTGATACAGATGCCAGCCACAATTAGGAATTGGAGCTGTGTTATCCCAKTTACAGCCTGATGGGTCGGAAAGAGTTATAGCATATGGAAGCCGATCCCTGAATGACCATGAAAGGAATTACTGCACGACACGTCTTGAAATGTTAGCTTTGGTGACCTATGTTGACCTCTTCCCTTACTATCTGTTAGGTCGTAGGTTTCGTGTGAGAACTGACCATCATTAATGACCTTGGTTAATGACCTTCAAACAGCCGGAAAGGCAGGTAGCTCACTGGCTGGAACAGCTGCAAGAATACGATTTTGAGGTAGAGCATCGCCCCGGAAAATACCATCAAAATGCTGATGCGATGTCAAGAAAGCCACGACGCCAACATGGAGACTGCCCATCGTGTTGGCCAACGTCTGATCCCAGTATGACTTTTCACAGACTGAAAGCCGACCAAGAAGTGTCTGATGAGGGTTCAACTGAAACAAACGTGTGGTCCTGGAGTTTACTAGCAAAGGCTCAGAAAGAGGATCCCGATATTGGTGTAATCTTCTCACTTATACTTCAAGAAGAAAGGAAACCGACTCAGGCAATGCTCCAAGGCATGACTTCTAAACAGCGTGCTGTTGCTGCCCAGTTTCAACTTCTGGAAGTAGTAAGGTGTGGTGTGCTATATCAAAAGGACCCAACAACCAGCAGAGGTGACAGTAGACAAGTAGTCTTACCAGAAAGCCTGATCAAACCAGCACTACAACAATGTCATGACGGATTAGCCGGAGCCCACCTCCATCATGGACACAATGTTTGGTACAACTGTACAAAATTTCAATTTTTCGTGCTTCTTCGCTTTAGCGTCTACCTTTATCCCCTCCCCCCCTAATCAATGTTGATTTCATGATGAAAAGTTTGTTGTTACACAGCACATTCATGTACGAATCTCCAACATTGAAACAAGGGGAGTAGGGGACCGCAAAATAGGGTTGTAAGTAGGGGAACAATGAGACACACAAAAAAGGTTACACCACCCATATCTTGTCCCATTCTATTCTGTCCATGATTGTCTGTGAAGTGTGCTATCAGAAAAAACGATTGAAAACAGAAAATTTATGTAGAATGTTACGCCTTATAATGATGCTGTGTTTTTGATTGACGTGTTCATGACTTTTTGGTATCCCTGTGTCCGAAATTACGTCACAATTCTAATTGACACTTTCTTCGCGCACTGTCAGAGCAAAAATGTGGCGGGAAATCCTTGCTTTGCAGAAAGCATATGCTATATTCCAGTTGAGGCAGACTTTCATCGTATACCAAGTCGTTCACAGGATCTAAACCCTCCTGAAAATGTTTTTCATGCCGTAAAAGATAAGTTAGAAAAGCAGGCGATAGCTATGAAGATTCACCATGAAACATTCGAGGATTTCAAAGGGCGTGTGTTGAGCTGTTTTCAATCAATGGATCANAAAGAAAACTGTCAAAGAAGCGAGCAACAGTACAGATGTCATATCATCATCTACAGCACCAACTGATATCCATGACGGACTGTTCACCTGCCCAGAAGTGGGATGTGTGAAATCATATCAACGTTGGTCAGCTCTTCAACATCACCTTGAGATTGGCAAACATGAAAGGGCACTTGAGAACGACACTCTAATGGATAAAGCAGCACAGGGCTATGCTGAGCGACTAGAACAGCAGGCGGTGGCAATACCTAACGTCATTGAAGTAGCTGGTAAGAAGACTAAAGAATCAGAGCGTTCCGCACCTGCAGAAATGGGCTGGGCCCTCAAGTCAACGCAGTCGACAAAGAAACGATTCTCAGACAAGCAAAAGACCTATTTGATGAAAATGTTTCAGCTTGGAGAGAGTACTGGGTACAAAGCCGATCCTTCAGCAGTTTCAAAGGCAATGATCAAAGCAAGAGGCGATGATGGTAACCGACTATTCAATAGCGAAGACTTCCTAACTACACAACAGATCCGAAGTTTTTTTTCACGGACGGCTTCCAAAAAAAGACTTGACGCAAAGACCACACAATGCACAGGTAATTATCGTCGATTATGATATATTAACTGGTTAAGGTTATTCCTTTAATTCTTTACTGATTATTGGAGTTGCAATAAGACCGAAATGCAACCACTTATACGTTTTTTAGCTGGTAAATTTTATTTCTATCAATTCATTCTGATAACTGATTTTAACGTTTGTTTCATTAATAGATGAACTGATTGAAGATGATGACAATCTTGATTATGACGACGAGAATGCAGAAGAAGAGTACGAACTCGAAGAGCTCACAAACAGAGTTAATCAAGAAATAGGATTACAACATCCAATAGTATATGATTCACACAATATCTGTGAGCTTCTATCAGCCAATAAGCTTAATAAATTTAATATCAAAATGCTGAAAATAATTTGTTCGCATTTTGAATTAGACACTTCAGAAATAACAGCTAAATTGAAACAACCGTACATCTCAAAACTACGAGTTTTTTGGAAAAACTGTTCGTGTTAGCAGTAATTTTTAGGTTTTAATACCATAGTATACAATAAGATAGGTCGATTCCCAGTCAAATGGTGGAAATATACAGTTTACATTATATTAAAATGATAATCGTTTTAACTCTTACAATCGAAGAAATCAGTCAAACTATTAAAAACAAGAATGATACTATAGTCGTATTGAAACTTATACAATTTCATTAAAAAAAAATAAAGTGCGTGCAAAAAAAGGTTTACACTCGAAAATGTAAGTGTTTTCATTTCGGAAATTATCTCGAAAACACGCTAAAAAATTGTATTATTACTTCCACAGTTTCTAAAAACAAGATATAAACGAAATAAATCAGTGTAATAGCAACTTGTTGTAATTTTTTTGTGAAATTTAAACGATTTTTTTTGCGCTATTTTACACGGTTCAATAGTTTTGTTGTTGTTTTAATAGATAAAATCTTAATGAATACGAGAGAATTTCAACTTTCAGAATCAATAAAAAAAAAACTTTCAGAATCAATAAAAAAAGGACTAAAGGGTACCCCAACTAGATACTGAGATATGTTCTGGAACAATCTCTCAACAACTTATACACAAATTTTCAGGTAAATCCGAATACTGGCACATGCCGAAATCGAGGTATATTTAAGAGACATAATTTCAGTTATTTTTTTGCGAAAAAGTATATGTACTTTTAGTTCGCTTGACAAAATACCAAAATCAACTATTTTCTCTATGTTTTGCTATGAGACTGTCTAAAGTGGTTGGAATTTGTAATAAATAGCGTCAGTTTTGTATTTATAGCGTGTTTTTAGGAGTTTATAGCTCATCTACAGCGCTCATCTAGCGCTGATTTGGATCATTTATTGAGGCCCTGACCACGGTCGATCAAAAAATTAAATTTTCTCGAAAATAATACGCTTTTTAAACAAACAAACTACGTCAGATTTCTAACCTAATGAAGGGCAATTTATGTTAGCAAAATGAAGTAAATCGATTTTTGCGACTCCGCCACATTTTCTCATTTTTGCTCGATTTTTACTGACATTGGCTCTTAAATAACCTCCACCTGACAGCCATCATTTGAGTGTTCACGTTGTCGATGTTACCGCCCTGTATTAAGACAATTGGTGAATCAGCCGTAGCGAACACTGGGAGATCTTTAGAAAGTTGTATGTCCTTCTGATAGTGCGTTTTCGGCGTTGGGATATGAATTGTGTCCCCTTCAAGTAACTGTAGTAGATCACCCCATGCGATTAAAGATGGGTGCCATTTAAAATCATTCAATAGAATTATTTCCGCCTCGTTTACTCCAACCCAAGCAAATGTGCCAGTTGCGGGATTGCAAAATGCTTTGTAAAGAACTTTTAATGGCGCTACCATGAAGGATTTGCCTGTATTGGCTGGACCAAACAAATATATATTGTTATACTTAGCTCTGCCATATTCGAGCGCCCGATAGACGGCTCCACAAAACTTGTCGTAGTAATTTCGTTGTTCGATAGGATTTCCAGTGCCATACCTATCCAGTTGCCCTGGCAACCATCAACGCACCCTGAATTGTATGCTTCTTGTAGCAATTCGAGTCTTGTTTTCTTCATGCGCTCTACCATATTGGGAGCCTCCTCTAACTCTTGCCCTAAGTTGATTGCCTCCTCGACTACTTTCGTTCCCCTGTTCGCTATGAATTCCATCAGCTCTGTTTTCCCCTCTTTTTGTTGTGTTATAGCGAAGTTTAACAGCTCAACCCGGCTGTAAAGTTTATGTTTCTGTACAATTTGCACAACGTCATAGCTTGTGTATCTTTTTCGACCACGTTTTTTGGATGTACTTTTATTTTTGGCTTTCTTCCTACGTGACTCGATAGCTTGTTCAGTAGCCGGTGGGTCTGTCAAGACTGGGTGGTTAAGCGATGTTATGAAATGCTTATCTGTTTTGGTCACGTAAGTATACGCTGTGTAGTAGGTATTATGATTACAGCTGAAGTTAACTTGTATATCGCACGCGGCGGCTATGTATTGACGAACACGAGACCATCTTGAACGCTTATTTAATCGAAGAGCCACGTGATAATGTTTCGGATTTCTCCCTTCGATGACATGCTCCTCTTCACACACTACCCATTGAACTACCATGGACTCTGTGGCTTCTTTAAAAGCATCGCATACTATTGTAGAAAAAAAATCTCTATTGGGGACTTTAGAAGTGTCTGCACGGCTGTAAGTTATGAGATACACCAAAGCTTGGTGTCGAACAGGTCTGTCAGCCATGTTCACAAACAACAAAGCAGGTTGGGATCCCTGTGTAAACCTATTTTTGAAGTTATTTTTGTAAATATTCGTCATTTTTAAAACTGTTTTACCTTTATTTGAATTGAAATCATATAAGAAACACTTTAATTGACTTAATTTTATATACGAAAGCCTTTAACGGACATAATTTTGCACTTGCTTACAGACAATCATGGACACAATGTTTGGTACAACTGTACAAAATTTCAATTTTTCATGCTTCTTCGCTTTAGCGTCTACCTTCATCCCCTCCCCCCTAATCAATGTTGATTTCATGATGAAAAGTTTGTTGTTACACAGCACATTCATGTACGAATCTCCAACATTGAAACTAGGGGGGTAGGGGACCGCAAAATAGGGTTGTAAGTAGGGGAACAATGAGACACACAAAAAAGGTTACACCACCCATATCTTGTCCCATTCTATTCTGTCCATGATTGTAGGTTCAAAACGTTGCGAAAGATGAAAGAACGGTTCTGGAGACCGGGTATGACAAAGGTTGTYCACGAATACTGTGATGATTGCCTCATGTGTGCCAAATGTAAACCACGTAAGCATTCAAAGCTCCGCTACGTCCAATTCCATCAAGGTCATCCTATGCAGAGAATCCATATGGACATAGTSGGTCCGCTACCACGTTCTAAGAAGGGGAACAGATATGTGCTAACTATGCAGTGTAGCTTCACTAAATGGGTAGAGGCCTTCCCAATCCCAAATCAGCGTGCAACCACATGTGCTAGGATCTTTGTGAAGAACTGGGTGTGTAAGTTTGGTGTGCCTGATAGTATACACTCGSATCAGGGACGGAATTTTGAATCTAAGGTCTTCAGTGAAATGTGTAAACTGTTGGAGTATGGATCATTTTCAGAATTCACTGGAAAATTACGAGACCAGTTGCTGCAGGCTTATCGAAATGTTAGAGCAAACCTGGAGGTAGCCCAACGACGTCAGAAAGATGCTTATAATAAGGGTGTACGACATACTGTATATGAACCTGGAGACTTCGTTATAGTCCAAACTTGACTCCCGGAGAAGCTAGCAGCTAGTTTCATCAAAGTTGGCTAGGTCCATATATTATAGTGGAGAGAATAACTGAGGTAAACTATTTTATCCAGAAACAAAAAGGCAAATAAAGAAAGACTTTGGTCGCACATTTCAACAACTTACGGCTGTTTAAAAGAAAGACAACCAGTGAGTCTCTGATAGAAACTGACAAAAGTTTGGAGAATGGTGATAAAAGCCACTCAGCAGATGATCAAAGCAACGAGCAAACCCAAGACGAATACGATGACGAAATGGTAATGTCAGAAAGTGAAGCAGAGGTCAAAGAGAGCAGTTGGGAGGCAAACAGCCCACAGACCACTGTGGAGGTAGCAGATGACACTTACAGTAGAGAGTTGATTTCCCCATCGTCTGATGAGAGGACTGTGAGTGATTGAGAAAGTACAGCAGACGCTATCTCGGAATCTGACACAAAATCTTCTGATGGACAAAGTGACAGTGACACACAAGATGAATCGTCAAGCAGTGATTCTGATTTGGAAAGTACTGCGGGAAGCCGGCGATCTACTCGAGTGAGGCGTCCACCCGATCGCTATGGAGATTAGGTCCTTAACAAAGTGCAGTTTCTGCAAATGATGGAACAGCTTGGCCACCGTGTTGAACAATTTGAAAGTCGGGAGGAGACTAGGAAGAAACGGATTCAGCAGTTGAAACCATATATATTTATCAAGTATTTATCAAGTATATATTTTCCTCATACTCTTCTATTGTTATTGCTCAACTGTAAAATATTTTTAAGTTCTTCTAACATCTAACCTGCCTAGACTAGCCGTTTTGCTATATGCAGGTTATATGTGTTTTTGTCAAATATTACACCGAAGTTATAATAAAATCTGAATCTGAATCTGAATCTGGTACAAAGTGGCTTCGTGTTATAAATCTAGCCCGAGACTCACAGTAATTTATATAAAGTTTGAAAGATATTCGTGTGCATTGTAAATATATCTACTTGGTTTTGTTTGGAAAAATGTGGAAGATAAGTAAAAACATCAATTATGTTCAGAATCGAAGCTTCCGCAGCTACTACAATGTTATTCTAACCGTATTCTAGAGCCCATGGTCGTTATAACGCAGCGGTTGCGCGCATGGTCATGCATAACGGCCTCTTGTTAGGGGGAATGGTGTACTAGTTATGAGACCGGAAACTGTTATTTAACCGGAAGTACATTGTATCTTGACGTCACTACTGACCTTTTGACCTTGGCCTCATGGTCTTTAGTTCGTGTTGTTATTAAAAACGCCTAGAAAGTGTGTCAGCGTCATTATTATTACATGTGCTATTTCTTCTTCTGTCTTATTGGTTAATGATTTCAATTTTCATATAAATGAATCCTCTAATGTTGATGCTACTAAATTTTTGAATCTTCTTGAGATATTTAACTTCGCTCAACATGTGGACCAACCTACACATCAAAATAAACGAATTCTTGACCTTGTGATAACTAAGGCTAGTGACACAATCCTCTCTAATGTAATGGTTTCTGACTCTGCCATTTCTGAACATTGTGCTGTCTTTGGCACTCTTCAAATTAAGAAACCTTCTTTTGAGAAAATTATTTCTAAATGCCGAAATGTTAAGTGTGGTATCAACTGAAATAATCTTTCTATTCCACCACGCCTGCCTTTGCATCTTTCCATAGAGAAAACTGCAAAAATGTGCCACTCAAATGCCAGGTCAGTGTGTAATAAACCTACAGTTATAAATGATTTTACAGTTGAAAACAGTATTGACATCTTATGTTTATGTTTTGGACTTGACTTATTATATTAAGGTTTATTAGTTTTCATAAGCCCCCTCGGGGTATATAACATTCGCCCTAAATAGACAATATATTTAGATTTAGATTTAGATTTATATTTAGATTTAGATGACGCTGAACTTTTAGGATGAAAAGAACACACATTTGTAAGTATATGTAATCTCCATTTTCTCCTTTTTTCTAATCTATTCATGTAAGTAATAATTGACCCAGTTGACCTTCTTGTATAGTTCAATCTATTCACTATTAAATGGGTTAAGAATCTGGTGCAAAACTTGTGGTCGATTCAATTCAGTTTTTAACTGAAACTTGGTTAAAAAGTAATTCACAAGAAGTTATAAATGAGTTGACACCTAAAGGATGTATTTTCCACCATATCTCTAGAAAAACAAGAGGTGGTGGTGTTGGAGTTCTTTTTAAAAAATCATTAAAAGCTGGGGAAATACTTTTTGATAACTTCAAGTCTTTTGAAGCTATGGGCATGAAAATATCATCTCAAATTTCACTGTTTGTTATTTACAGACCTCCCCCTTCTAAACATAATAAATTTTCTGATGCTATGTTTTTGGAAGAATTTTCTATTTTTCTTGAATAATTTTCTGTTAGATCAGGCTCTTTTCTTTTGATGGGATTTCAACTTTCATGTTGATGACTCTTCTAATCCCTCTGCAATTAAATTTCTAAATTTATTAGAGCTTTTTAATTTGACTGAACATGTTAAAGAGCCAACATATCAGGGCAAACATATGCTTGACCTTGTAATTACAAGGACTGGGGAAGAGCAGTATGATTCTATACTCATTTCTGTCGTAAATTCTCATGCTCCAATTAAAAACCGTATAGTTTCTTAGTCCAGTCGCTGGCCCCTACTCTTTGCTCCGCTTTAAATTGTGTCGCCGAAGACTAGGGTCCAGCATTGTTTGCCTGCGCATGCTCGAAAAAAAATATTTSCGAACCTCGTTGGAAACGGTGGTTTTAGCGCCAATTTCTGTAAACAAGATGGCGCACCCAAATTGTTACATTTGTTGCAAAGAACTTTCGTGTCCTACTKCAAGATCATTACTGGTTAAACGCAGCGGCGAGATTAGTGAACTAGGAAAATGTTTCCAAACTTATTGTAATATCAGTTACGACGAGAACGAGCCTGCACCGTTCTACTGCTGTAAACTTTGCAAAAGCCGTCTCGAGACGATCAAGAAGAAAACTTCGGAGTTATCATCGACGTTCAAGTAAACAAAAGCCTTTATTATACGGAAGAAAATGCTTTATAGCCCGAACAAAGCCAATTCTCCAACGACAAGGTCACCTTCCGCCAAATCGGCACGCCTAAAGACTCCACAAAAGGGAATAAAGACGGCGAGGAGGGCAATCATTTCTCCGACTCGTAATAGTGAAATTGATCTTAACATTCATCCCCTGGAAAACAAGGTAACATTTAGTGTTTTATACATTCTTTTTGTAACACTTTTACTTTTTACTGATCGCACATTVCTTGATGAGAATTATCTTTTAATATTGAAGGAAAATTCTGCTAAGGAGACAAAGCCAAGTGAAAATAACTCAATTGATGGGGACGAATCGAGCAATGTTCTTTACGTGAAGTTTCCTTCTTGTTCAACACATTTGAAGATAACGGGACGCAAAGCAAAATTGGTAACATTTATTATTTTCAACCAAGATACTGAATTAATTGACATTCTTATGGAAGACACTGTCCAAAAAGAAAAAATAATTGCGAAGCTTCTCGATGACCTGGACACCGAATGCAATACACTTTGCTCCATGAGCGCTCCCTCGATGTTGCGTAAGAAAGACGCTAAAAGTCTCATGGAATTTTCTTTCAAAGACTTGTTAGAAGAAGTTAAGGGAAAATCAAAGCTCCTTCATGACGTTGTTCTCACTGTTTGCTGCACAAAGAAAGCTAACGACCGCAATACACAGAAGACCACTGACTATAAAGTCGGTGCTATGGGAATGGCAGTATCAATTCTCCTAAAATGTCGGAACAAATTCATGTCTGCTGCACAGATTGTAACCTCCTTATCGCTGGGAAGAGCACATATTTCAAAGATGGTAAGTAATTAAGTGATAGATCTGACGTGACTGAAAAGCACTCTTTGTTGTGAAGAATTTTACAAGACAGGCAATGTGAAAATGGCACAATTTGATGTATTGGTAGTGTATGGTTATCGTTCTTTTAGTGTTGCTCGACCTTTTCTATGGAATTCACTGCCATCTTCAATCAGAGACATTTCTTCACTTGACAATTATAAAACTGCTCTTAAAACCTTCTTATTTAAACAAACTTATGATCTGTAACTCTATTTTAACTTTCTTTATCTTAATTTTTACCTTTTTATTTGCGCTTAGAAAAAGTNTGTACGATTATTGACGTATGTAATAAATTATTGTGCAATAAAAAATGAATTTGACAACCTGTTGTTCTAGCATAGTTTGAAAACGCTAAAAACTTGCTTAGAAGTGACTATATAAATAAAGTCATAATGCTTTCATGAATAAATACACTTTATGTACAATATTTGTTAAATTGTGTCTGGCCACTCTTCAAGAATATAAAAATGTAGCAAACCAAGCATTTTTATTGACTCTGTGGACTTGTCCTGATGATAAATCTTGTTTATGGCAAAATTGGCCTCTTTTTATATCAAGGAAATTGGGTGTGAATATGCTAGAAATTAGAATTTGCCAAATAGGGACATTTTGTGGGAATTTTCAAAAAAAATGCAGAGAAATGGACATTTTACAAAGAAAACAGAAAAAGTGCAAGAGTGCAAAAATAATTTTTAAAGTGTTTAATTAAGTGATAGATCTGACGTGACTGAAAACCACTCTTTGTTGTGAAGAATTTTACAAGACAGGCAATGTGAAAATGACACAATTTGATGTATTGGTAGTGTATGGTTATCGTTCTTTTAGTGTTGCTCGACCTTTTCTATGGAATTCACTGCCATCTTCAATCAGAGACATTTCTTCACTTGACAATTATAAAACTGCTCTTAAAACCTTCTTATTTAAACAAACTTATGATCTGTAACTCTATTTTAACTTTCTTTATCTTAATTTTTACCTTTTTATTTGCGCTTAGAAAAAGTTTTATAAGCGCTTTATAAGCTTAGATGATGATGATGATGATTATTATTATTATTAGTGTAAACACCATATAGTCTTTGGTAAAAATATTGATAATAACTTTATTTATAATAACTATATTACTTTATTTTATGTAGCACTAACACTTTGCAATCAAATAGTCTCCTTCACGGTTACCTGCGCCATCTTGAAAGGTAGCCGTGCCTTGTCATCGAAGCGAGACAACCGTTGAGCTTGCAATGATAGAAACCTCTTTTCACACCTATAGACAATTATTCACAGGTATCTATCATTGCACGCTCAACGGTCGTCTCGCTTCGGTGCAAAGGCACGGCTACCTTTCAAGATGGCGCAGGTATCCGTGAAGGAGACTATTTATGTAACCAGTAAAATCAAATCCTCAAAATTTACAAAAAGAAATAWACATTATACTAAACACTGTAATATATAATATAATTTGTAAAGATATTAGATGATTGCATTCATAAATTCTCYGTCCATTATGGCCAGCTTGATTTTCCTATTTTTACATTCATTCATTTATTCATATTCATTTGTCTATTTATTTATCTSCTTGAAGGGAATGTCTCGAGCCAACCAGCAAGGGCTTGTTATATCACATGAACAATATATAAAATRTTTGGAGGAAATGGCCAAGAACTATGATGAAGATGTACTGGAATGGCTGAAGAAACAACAATCTATTAAACTTGCAGGTGATAACATTGACAAAAGAATCAAAGCCAGAGATCAACGAAAAGACAATGACAATAGAGAATATCATTGRTTTTTGGTAATGGCATTTCTAGAGAGAATAGATTTCAAACACTTGCCTAATGATCATCATATCCAAAACCTGAAGGAAGTACCCCTCAGTGATTTCTTGATGGRCAAAGATGATTGTGACCAGCTAATCTCTGATTTAAGTGTCTTAGTCCTAAGGGTTATTTGTGAACATATGCCTTTCTTTCATCCTTTTAAAAAATATGTGCCCAAACATATTATTCATGAATACACAGCAGAAATGTCCAAAAAGTCAGAGTCAGTCAATCTTGGACTTGTCTTTGAAAATGAAAACAAATCTGAAGGAATGATAAAAATTTTGGAATACTTACATAAATATGTAAATATGGAAGGAGAAGAAACTGTATTTGGAGGGGATCTCCTTACCTGTGAAAGGGCCTTCAATGTACAAAGAATAAGAAGAACTGCAACAACCTCATTGCTTCGTCTTGATAGAATCATACCTACTGCTGAGAGCTGGCATACAAAGATGRCCTTAATGATGGTGAGACTGTTTGCTCAATAATCATACAAAAGTCCTCTCCCAATTATCTATATAGTTGCAACAGTAACAAAACCAATCTAGTTACAAAAATTATCTCTTAGAGCAGAATCACGTGAACCAGAAATTCTCTCTTTTTATACAAAGACTAATCTGCTTTAACAACATAAACAATTCAGTGCATACTGGCTATTTTGATTAGGTATTTCAAAAGCCCTGTAATTGTGCTTCACTRTTTTGMAATGCTCTATATTGAACRCATGTAATATTAATAATAATAACAATTATAAGAATTAAAATTTATATAGAGCAATAACAATTCATTCAATTATGCTTTACAAAAATATTTTTAATTGCATGACAATAACATATTTAATATATACTTTTTTATACGTATAACACAACACAAAAAATATACATCACATATTCAAAGATATCAAGTATGTTTTATTATAATAAAAACATGATAAAGAAATAGGCCTTTTTAAAACTAAAAAGACAATTTTATTAAACATTTTTTTAAAGTTAAAAATGAAAGAGAAAAACATAGTTTCTCAGGAGTTACTAAATTCAGGAGTAATATAGTAAAATAGCAATAGTAAAACATTTTCAAAAAAATTGCACCAAATTTGTGTGATGYGGCCTACAGTAGGTTGTCCAGAGTAAATGCACTCTCATATTTATTGACAATTGATATAATTTMATTTTAGGTCATATTTAAATATTTGTGGTCAGAAAAATCCTCGAAAGATATTRGCACCTTATACCAATTGAGGAATATWTCAGGACGAAGTAATGTCACAGGAGATGTCAAGCATCAAATGAGCATGGTTAGTACTATTACTAGTACAGTATGCTAAATAATTATTTGCTGGGGATTTATTATATACTGTTGCGACAGTTATAGCATATATTCTCACATATTAATTTTTTTTAGTCAAGAGATCTCTTGGTTGATGTTACAGATGCACACATTCTTGCTGCAGCCATGGAATATTTTGGAATGCCAAATCTTGAAAGTTTTCCTACAAAGAATTATAATCTGGCTGAAAATGCAAAATCGCAAGAAAAAAAGCAGTGGCTTTATGACAGTGCATACCAAATCATTAAAAAATTTGTATTTGAACGAGAGCAAAACACAGATGTGGGAACCCTGTCACAGCAAGACARTAGTAATACTGACTCTGCAGAACAAAGTGATAATGAATGTGACRCTGATAGTGAAGATGATTACACAGACTCTGATGATGACATTGATGAAGATGATTCAAGCAGTGATGAGGAAAGTGATGGGATTATTAGTAAGAAAAACAATGGCAGTGTACTCACACAGACACATGACTTATTACCATGGCTTACATTAAAAGAATTTGATGAAACTGAAGACACCCATGAAAAAAAGGAAAAGCTAGACCATGATACAAAAGATGCAAATGACTATGTATTTAATTATGCAAGCAGCATATTAATGTT